AGGATAGGCAGTGACCTCATGCACGTTGAAATAACAGGACGATATAATCAACAGGGCTCATGCTGGGACATACTTACTGTATGTCCTTGGCTGACACTCAAATATCTGAAAATAATGACTCAGGATGTGATTCCTGTTAGGAAGCCTATTTTGCTTTCACTAGCTGCCTCCCAGCTGAGCGGGCCCCTAGGAGAAGGTACATCCATCTCTCATGGGGTTCATCAGAAGCTGAGCTCTGCTAATGCTCCTGCCTTGAACTCCTTGCCAGATTAAGCTCTCCTCAAAAGCAGAAAATTAATTACCTGGATGGTTTATGGGCTTTTCACAGGAAAGAGGAACCTCTGGTGTTCTTACTTACAGTGTTGGGGATGGAAAGCACCAGCATTGAGACTTGCTTATTGGTATTACATACCAACAACAAGCTCACATGCTAAAATTTTCTAGGAAACTTTGTAATGACTGGTCAAGGATCTTTAAAGTTCAATCTGCAAACTATGCCATTTAAAAAATAGGCTGGTAATTTTAATGACACAGGGACCCTGGCCATTATCACATCCTTGGAAAAGCTATCCTACACCAGTTTAACAATCCCATCCGTGCGGGAGAAACTAGCCCCGGAGAAAGATGTTTTCTTACTTTCCTTTTCTGGGAAATATTCCTAATCCAGTTTCTGTACATTAGGCAACAGTGCTGCATGTGCTATGGTGGGTGCTGATGATTTGTCTGCTGGGTTTTGCTTTTTCCATGCTTTTCTGCCACTTTATTACAGCATTACTGGCTGTATATTGCATGCTTGAGCACAAAGCTGCACATTGTCCCCTGCTGGGAGCTGGACCCACACGAGAAGTTTCTCAACTTCCACCGTGTCCCTGCAGTGAGGAAATACCCAAGGAAGTACCTTTCATCTCCTCAGCATGCAATCTCCTCTGCTGCACCAGCACTTTGTGGCTCCCTCCTCTTCAGTTTCCTCTGTGCTGTTTGTTAGCAGGACTGTTCTAGTTTGGTTTTAGCGGCCAACACGACAACACACACAAGTACATTCTCCTGCCCCAAGCCTACATGGTTGCAAGTTGCTTCAGATCTTTCCAGGGAGGAAAACTGATCTGGAGGATGGGCCAGATTGCACCTCCCTGGTGCTGCCCTAAGGAAGGGGAGATGGTTGCATGGCAGAGATGGATGCAGGCAGGAGAAATCCGCAACTGGGGCTGGGATCTGGGAAGAGCAGGGCACAGAGACACAGCCAGTCCTCAGAGATGAAGGGAAGAGAAATGTTTCTTGGGGACCTCAGGGATGCTGCAAAAAATCAGTGCAAATGGGATAATTTGGTCTGCCAGCCAAGCAGGCAGAAAGAGTGTTGTGTGCAGGATGTCAGCCTCCCTGGCCCTCCACACATATCTTAAATTTTGTACTTTCACGTAATTTCTAAGGACAAGCTACTTAACTTCTTAACAGCAATCAGAAGAGGTTTGAACAGTTTCAGGTTCTAGTCTCTTGGTTTTTCAGCTGGCATCAGGTTTACAGTCACAGTCTGCTGGGAGCTGTCAGTGCACAGTAATAGCAACTGTATCATTCTGGGATGGCACATTATCTTTGTTTGCTAATTAACCAAGGTTACTCATCACACTGACTCTGGGTGCACTGCTGACACAACAGAAAACACATTCTCTTCACTCTCTTTCCATTCTCTCTGACAGACTTTTCTGGGAAAGTTTTGGATTTAAAAAAAAAAAAAAAAAAAAAAAAAAAGAATTTAAAAAATCAAAATTTTTGGAAAAAATCCCAATCAAACTTGGCAGCAGGAAACAATATTTCATAAAAATGGGATATTTTGAAAGGAGGCCCTTTATTTCCAAGGAAAACACCGCTTGTTCATAATTGTGTGGGATTACATCTGACCACATTAGATCAGAACAGCCCTGCCTGCTGATAGGAGCCAGCACAACCACCCAGCACGGTGCTCCACCTCTCCTCACCGCAGAGGGGGTCTGATGTACACTCACACAGGTGCTTTATTAATGAAAAATGTATTGAAAAATGAGAAATGATCCCTTCTCACTTCCAATTCCTCCCTCTCTCTGCCAGCAGCCAGCACCTTGCACACGCCTTGACATCTACAATATTGGAGGCATTGCAGTAGCTGCTTTCCTTGCCCAGTTTCAGTAGGAAATACGGACTTTCCCAATTTACCCAACGCTGTTTATTGATATCTTTGTGCTTTTGGAAAGCCTGGCACCCCTGACAGATGAGCTCAATGGCTTGCTCTTGGATGACTTGCTGGAGTGTGACCGCCACGGACAGCTTCATGTTTTGCAACCCTGCAGCCTAAGCTGCCAAGCAGGATTGTGCAACCCCTGTACGAGACGGCCGCTGTCTGGAGTCAGAGCAGCCTCCTGGCAAGGGGAGCAGACAGCACGCTCCTTCTGGGCAAGGGTGAATCACCCACCTTGCTTGGACCAGCCAAACTCAGGATGCCTTCGCCTCATACGGTCGCTCTGTTAAAGTGCTTTAGAGTTCAGAGTGAGGGGGTAATAGCTTTTAACCAGTTATTTCTCTAAATCACTGTTGTGTTCTTAAAGAGCAAGGTGCTACATGCAGAAACCCACCGAGTGGCCACTTTTTGTCACCTCAGAAACCATTTTAAAAATGCACCTTGACTGCAGACAACGTTGTTTTGCAGATGTGCAAAAATCTTCTCCTTGAAGAGCAGCGGCTACCCAGCTCCTCTCCCTGCAAACATTGCAGGACAATATATATGGGCTTTTCCTGGTCAGCAAGGTGATTTTTTTTCCCCACCTGTCTAGACAGGCCAGCAGTGCTTTGTAGAGTAGCCAAGTGGAAAGGGGTCCCCATACTTAGTGATGCTGTAGTTTTATAGGAAAATTAACAGCATTAGCACAACAGATCACATCTCTGCCTTTAGCTGTCATGCTGGTGGGAGTTAATCCAGTGCTGGCCACTGTGACTTGATTTGCCCCAAAGCGTAATGTTTCTAGTGTTTCTCACTGCAGCATATTTATACTGTGGGCACAATGGGTGGCAGTTTGCCTTATTTCATAGTCTTTGGCGAGAACCTGGCTCCCTGCTGGAGAAATATTCCTGGAGAGGGAAGGAAGAACTTTCAGAGCTGAAGGGCAAAATTGAAGCCAGGGTCAGGGAAGAGGTACAAATGACCCTGCACGATCCTAGCAGACACCCTAGGAAAAAGCAATGAATCTGGGACACATCCCCTCCTCCAGGCCCAGCATCTGACTGTATCATCTCCTCTCTTACCTCTTGGTGACAACATTGGAGAGCTTCTGTTCATCTAGGATCTGAATATCTGGGGTGCTGCAGGAGAGGCAATATCCCTTTGGCCTGATGTGACCCTTTGACGGTGCCAGGAAGCCCAGGCTGGGTGCAGGATGTGCAAGCTCCAGGCACTGCAGTAGAAAATAGTGTTACAAAACTCCCGGCACTGTGTTTTGGTGCTGTTCCAGCAGGACAGTTGGATAATGGGAAACTGTAGATATAAATCTGAGTTTTGGCTCTCCACAGCCTGGGATCTGCCCAGTTGGATCCAGGAGACGGGCTGGCCTTACAGCACCCACAGCCTGATAGGATCAGAGGCAGGGACTATCTTCTGCCTTTTGCTTCTCTGCCACACTTGCCTTCCCAAAAATAATCCCGGATTCTTGGAATATAAAGCCCTCCAAACTCTCTTGATCTTTTTAGTTTTGGGGCTGTTGGGTTTTTTTTTGTTTGTTTTGGTTTGGTTGTTTTTTTTTTTTTTTTTTTTTTTCCTTCTAAGTTCAATGTTTTCAGAGATTTCAGCTGTTTCTTTGGATCAGAAAGTGATGAAAGAAAGGAAGTAAACACCAGGCAGCGCTTCCAGCCACTCTGAAACATCAATCTGGGTGCACACTGTAACCCAGCCCCCCTCAAGCTCTGCTCTTGCAGCCTCAGTATCCCGCACACACACACTCCCCTGCAGCTCCCCTGCCTTGGCCTGACAGTCGTCCAGCTGGAGCTGAACACGAGCCTGTTCTCCAGCAGACCTTACACCTTGCACTGATCCACCAGGCAAAACCCAATGGGAGGTCTCAGCTCTAGGAGCAGATTCAGGCACCTGCATGTCCTGTCCATGAAATGTGGGGCTTGGCTCAGGTTGGGCAGCATGCTGTGCCAGGACACAGTAGGAAACACCAGAGGCAGGACAGTGCTGGACTTGTCTCTCATCTGGTCTCTGCAGTGCCCACCGAACCATTAGGAGGTTGACTGGAGGTGAAGACAGCCTTCTGTACTTGGCACAGGGACTGATGCTTTCTCTTTCGGTCAGGAAGGGCTGCGTTCCTTTGGAGCTCCTCTCCAGAACATAGGTTCTCACTTAGGGGTCAGAAGAGATCCTTGACCGCCCAAGCCAAGGGTCTGATATCCTCATTTTTGCTAATCTCCAACAAGGAAGCTCCTCAGGGAGCTGTATAAGCTGTACATGAGGCCCTTCCTAAGAGTTTCCTCTGGTGGCAGGAGCCTAGAAAACCAGTCTTCTGGTTACAGGCCAACTGCTCTAACGAGTAGACTCTCATGCATAAACTGAGCAGTGACACCACCCCCCAGTGATGGGTAAGACAGAGTTTCTGTGGCCTTTGGCCAAGCTGCCCTCAGGTGAGACACAGTGAGCTGCAGATGTTAAGGTGCCCAATACCCAAGCGGAGCAGATGGGGACACCCCAAGCACACATCAGCCTCCCCAGTCTTTTGTTGAGTTTAGCCCTCATGACCACCAGTCCACAAAAAGTTCCTGGAGGCAAAGAGCACTCCAGTGTGCTGGCAGTGCCTGGACAAGTGGGGTTTCTCAGGGGGGCAAACAACCAACACTTGAGAAGAGTGTCACTCCACATCCAAAAGACACAGTGAGGAGGTAGCTACATTTCTGAAAACCTACTATGTTTAGTTATTTTTGGCTAACTTAGGCCGAAGAGGTTAAATGAAGCTGCAGTCCAACAGTAAGTGCTGTACATCCCATAAAGATGAAACAGAAAGATGTTTTTAATCAGAAACTACAGAAGAAAGATGCTTCATAAGTAACCTAAGGCTAGCGAGCACATCCATCAAGGCTGGGAGCTAATAATTTGTCTGGAGTGGAAATCTCAGAATGACACTTGGGGCGGGTCCCAAATGAGTCATCTACCATGGGACATGACACTGTCATGAGCTGGGCATCCAAACTGGTGCACAATAAAGGTGGCCCAGTGCTGCTGGCATTGATAGGGTCAGATAAAGGGGGAACAGATGTGGGCAGAAAGTGGCAGGAACTGAAAGGTCTCATCAAGTCTCCACAGTGCACCAGGAAGACCAGGAATTTGGCTGAATCTTTCAGGCCAAATTCAGCTACTCAAGGGAAAGCACTGTTAAATTTGAATGGATTTGCATCCCAAGTCCTTGATCTGTTTGTAAGATACCTGACATCTTACAGGAGGGGGTTGGGGAACTGGGTTTTTCCTTTAGGGGCCATTATATGACCTTTTCCTGGTTCATGATATTCAGCGGGGATGGTCAGTAGAAAAGCCATGCTGCTGGAGATGATCCTTGGCCACAGCTGGAGTTAAACACCTCCTATGAAACATTCCTGGAAACAAACAGAACAAAAAAGATTTGGAAAAGGTGTAGGATGTTTACCTGGGTAAACCACAGCAGAGGGATCCCAGCTCCATGCAGAGCAGGCCAGGAGAACAGAGCCATTTGAAGCCAGTGCAAAACTCTCCTAATTTGTCCCTGTGCTACTAGGGACAAGTGCAGGACATTTCTGGGACTAGAAAGTGCAGGTTTTTAGGATACCTGCATGGAGCTTGGTGCTGGGTTAGGAGCATCAGGGAATAGAGCCAGACGAGGCACAAATGGCTGCTTTTTGCAGCAGTGGGGCAGGAGACTCCCTAAGGAACTGACGTTCTGCCTGCAAGAATGGGATGAAGGAAGAAGCAAATAAATCCCTTTTTCTCTGGCCAGATGGTTTCCGTTTGACAAATGATGACTGTGGGTCAGGCAGGTCTGGTTTTACAGCCCCCTTATGCCAGCTTGACATGCCCATAACTCTGCTCTGGCAGATTACTGAAAAGATTGCTCATTCTGCAAGGAAATCCAGAGGCTAATTACAGTGAGGCATGTAGTGGAAGAGCTCTCCAATGTTAGCTTTCCACGCACTGCCCAGGGGGTGCATCTCAGTGCCCTCTTTTACATGCACACAATTCCCTTTGCACAGCCCAGGCAGCTTTCAGCAGGAAGAACCATGAGGTTTGCCCAACATCCCTCAGCCCACCATACCTCATCCCACATCGCCTGGGACTTGCACATACTTGACAGTGAGACCATGGGGGATCTGGAAATTGCTAACAGACAGAGAAAACTGTTCAGGTGATGGGGACAAGTGGACTGTGGTGGGAGGTGAGCAAGAAGGAGCTGCTTGGACACTCGCTCAGTATTGAAGCATCTCTTAGTGGCACCACAGTCCTCTCTCGTGAACAACGGCCAAAACAGAGCTCCTCACTCAAAGGTGATCTCTGGAGCAAGGCATGAGGAACTGGTAAAGGATCAATGAAAGAAAAGCAACTGAGATATTGCAGATCCCAGCCTGTGAGAGAAATGTTAAATGATGGAGGTTCCCATAAACGATGGGCATCCAGACCTGGCACAGACAGGCTGCCCCAGCCCAGCCGCCTCCCTCCTTCTCGTTTGCTGTGACTCCCAGCCAGCTCTGCTGATCCCTCGGCCACAGCTGGTGCTCAACCCACCTGGAGATCAGGATGGCCCATGCAGGGGGGAGACATCATCCCAGATTGTTTCTTATGATCTGGGAGCTCCCCATGCCAGCAACAAGACCTCCTGAGCTCCAGATGAGAGGCACACAGAGAGACCCATGACAAAAGAGGGAGGAGAGTCCTATGAAATGCCCTGGAGCAGTTGCTCCACAGCAAACCCCCAGCTGAGGCAGGGCAGTCCCCCCGGGAATTGATGCTGAACATGATGTTCAGTATCTGCAGGTTGTTTCTGGTCCCTCTGTCCAAGAAGAAGCCATCAGGGATGGACTTCAGAGTCCTTCCCCTAACAGGCACTCAGCCAGACCCTCCGACTCCGAAGCAGATTGACGGCTGGAGAAAAAGAGCTTCTGTGGGAGCAGGGAGGAGACCAGCACCTTCTCACTGCTTTGCTGCAGTGAAGCTGGGGGAAGAGGGGCCAGCTCAGAGGCCGCAGCATCCCCAGTTGGCAGAGACAGACCCATTCTCCGCCACCACTCTGGAATGTGGCTCGAGGTGGAGCAGCAGGTGCTGGAAGGAGAGTTGCAACCAGTCTCGCCCTCCAAGAAAAATACCAGCCCCGCTCACTGAGGGGAAGGAGCAGGAGCAGCCTCTGCACAGCCAGATTTATGGGCCCCAGCAGGCTGGAAAAAATCCAGTGAACATTTCAGCAAATCCAGCCTCCGTCAGAAGTTACAGAGTGATAGGTGTAAGTCCCCGCCAGACCTGCAGCTGCTGCCCCTCTTGAGCCAGCCCCAGGCAGCCGGTGAAGTCACCCTCTCACGCTGGGTTGCAGGGACAGCGATGTGATCGGTACAGGCGGTGGCGGGTGCGCCACAGGCACGGCTCCAGCCGGGTTTCTGCAACAGGACAAGCACGGGCAGCAGCTAGGGGTGTGCAAGGTGCCCCCAGCACCTGGAACTGCACTGGGGGCCAGCATCACTACTGAATGGAAGGGGCATTTTTTAGAGGATGCATGGCCTCAGCCATGAGGAGCATGGGGCTCATTTACAGAAGAGGTGAAGATGGGTCTGGGTTGACCCCAGAATCCCCTTCCAGGTCCCAGCTGGGCCACCCTTTCTGGTGGGGTCTTCTAGGGGTCATTCCCTGTTTGCAACCATTCCCTGTCGCCCATCAGGCATGCCCACAAGGGCCATCTTGTGAACTCTGCAGCTTGCATAGACAGCTTGCCTCTTCAGGCAGGAGATTGCTGCCCCTTCCAAAACACTCACAAGGGCATACAGTCACCAAGCCTTGAACAGATCAACAGGAGGAGGAAAATAACAGGGTAGATTCCCTTTAAAGTCATTAACATCTCTATTGATGTTGCCTAGTGCTGGGTCTCAGCCCTCACCATCATGCTTGTCCTCATCTGCAGACAGCAGGCTTTTTGAGACAAGGCTGGTCTCCTTGAGATTTGAAAGCACCTGCCACACTAAGGGTGATAAAAACAACTTTCTGTGGCTGGAAGGAGCCACCATTTCTCATCCATCCTTTCACCAGCCCCATCCATCTCCCTCCAGACACATCCCTGCATCCCCAGAGAAACTCCCCCCCAGCATCTCCAGGGCTTTTTGCACAACAAAACCAGCCCTGTTCTTGAGACAATACTTCTCTCCTAGCATCTCACTGGCAAGCGATGGAAGTGAGACAAGGCTCTATTTTGTGCAGACCCAAAACTACTGTGCAACCTTCCCACCCATTATGCCACAGAGGTGTCCAGATTCCCCCAGGTCCTCAGCAGTCTCCCATGAGAGGATGGGCAAGGACCCTCCTGCCAAATCTTCACTGTCTGGGACAGATAACAGACCATCTCCGCAGAAGCCCAAGCACGTGTCTGGAGACATGGCTCAGTAACAAGGAATCCTCAGCACACCAAGCATGAGGAGGATAAATCAGCCCCGCCCTGTGCCCGTGCCTGCTGTGGGGACTATTTATCATCTGGTTGTGCAGCCCAGGGCAGTCGCCTGGTGCAGCAGGGCTCACCAGGAGAGGGGCCAAGCATGGTGCCAGGGCAAGGACAAGAATGCAGAAGAGGGAGCAGGCACAGGAGGTGAGGCAGCCCGTTTGCTCAGAGTTGCCATGCCATGGAAGGACTCACTTTCTCTTGCTCATCATCTCAGGATAACAGGTTTTTGCCTATTCTTCCCACAGCCTGATTCTCCCTCCCAAAGGACACAATTTAGGGGTCACTGATGGTCCTTTAGCTCCTCAGAGGACCCAGCATCTCCCTCCAGCTTCCCTGAAGCTGGGCAAGCCAAGATGCCGGGGCTGTGATACCTTTGGTGTAGAAAGCAAGGACAGAAGCACATGGACACTGGTTTTGGGACTGTGCCTCACTCTTATGAGTGTGAAGAAGAGGGAGGACTCCACGGCAGTTTTTCTGCATGCCCGTGCCTCTCACACAGAGCCAAATCCCCAGGTTGGTAGCCAGCCCCCACTCCCGTGCAGGACCCTTCCAGAGCCCGTGCTCGTTCGTACTGCATCCTGTCCCTCTACCCTCATACCTGGAGCCACGTAGAACCCAGCGTTCGTCTGGTGTCACCCCAGGGTCCTGTGGGAGCCGTGTAGAGATGGCTGAGCCTGGAGGTGCCGTGTCCATGCAGGAATTCTGGGGTCCCAAGCTGGCCCCCTCGGAGGTAAGGATGCCCCATGCTGCGGCTGCTCAGAGCTCCCAGCTGCAGTTTCATCTTCTCGCTGCAGTCACAGCAACTCTGTGACCTGGAGCCCAGGGTGAGACTCACCACACCAGTTCAGGGGCTTTTGCAGGTTTTATAGTGCCTTTTATCTTAGCTCCGAAGCAGACTGCATTCAGCCAGGCCAGCCCCTTTGGAAAGGTCTCCTGCTTCAGTTTCCAAGTGCATCCATCCATTTTAGCCAAGTTTCCTAATAAAACAGAGGTCATGGGATAGCACTCTGTGCCTCTGTGTATCTCTCAGCCCTCTGAAAGCTTGCCCAGCTTCATCTCCAAACATCTAGTGCAGTTTTCAGCGATATGATGTTCCTGGGAGATTTTTAGGAGGAGGGTGGAGGATCTAAGACTTCACAGATGTCTGTAGGCTGCATGGGGAAGTTCAGACCTTTATTAAGTAGCAGAGGATCCCCACAGAGGCTGTTCTTCCCGGCGCAGAAATCCAGGAAATCCATCTCTGGTATTTCTGCTCTTCTTAAATGGCTTGTTCTTCACACAGGTTCTTCAAACTACCCATGCAGATGAGCTTCTTGCAGTGGGAGCAGCAGATACTCAGGAGTCACTCAGAATGGAGATGCTTGTGAAGAACAGTTTCTGTAAAGCACAGCACAGACGTGTCCTTCCTTCTGCGCTAGATCTGCTCCTGAGCCTCATCAGACCCAGGAGTCAGCCCCAGCCACAGGTTTAGAAGCCATTCCCCGCTTGACTGTTCACCCTGGGTGTCTCTTTCCATCCGTCCCTCTGCAGCATCTCCCTCTCTGGCTCCACCTGTCTGTCCCTCTCCTGGGAATGAAGCACTGGATCGGGTGGTCTGAGCACTCATCTTTGCCCCATGGCCTGAAACTTTTCCTCTGCCCTCTGGAGAGCCCTCTGGAGCTCTCTCATGCAACTATCTCTGAGCATCCCCTCCCTCCTTGTGTCAACTAGGCATGACAGACAACAGTCACAGGCAGACCCTGGCGTTAACAGAGGTCACTGTGGTGGATTACCATCACCAGCTTTCAGGCGTTACCCTAACACCCAGGTAATTCAGCCTCAGGAGAGCCACCCACACAACAGGCTGCATGGACAAGGTGGAGATGTGTCGGTGGCAGGTAGGTGTAGAGACAAGAGGGTCAGTCCATCCCAAGAAGGAAGAAAATTTCTGGGTTAGGTGCTGCAGAGAAGACTAATATTTGCCTAGGAAGGAAGAATGCTGTCTAGAGGCATGTGTGCCATAGGCAATGGGCCTGGGGTTAAGCATGAACAAATACTACAATTGTCAAAAATAATCTCATTTTGTATATCTGAAAACTTTTTACAAACACAGGTTGATCATACGCAGTATTTTTTATCTAGGAAAAATATTTCAGAACAATTAAGCAATGGGGAAGAGTCATAAAGCTGATGGGAGATTGGGCCCATCTCAATGTCTTCCTGCAGACATCTCCACTGAGATCAGGAATCCCTGGGGGGTTCCCTAAGTGGAACATGAATACCCTCGTGCTGTCCATGCCCAAGGGTCAGTGTTTAGTGGGACATGAAGGTGAGGTGGTAATATGAGCAGTGTGGAGATTTGCACGTTGCAGGGGAGCTGTCAGGCCAAGGTTGCAGATTTCAAGATCTGAGCATCATTTAAATGAGTGAAGAAAGCAGATAAAACATTTTCATTAAAAAAAAAAAAAATCTAATTTAAAAGCTTGTTACCTTCTGTAAAAAACAGGTTTTGAAATCTTTGATTTCTCCCCCTGGGCAATCTGTAATCCCTCAGCTAAATCCTGAGCCCTTTAATTAAGACCTCAGTCATTTAAATTGTTAATGAAGATCCATTGGGGGACCATCATTCTCATTTCTGATTTCATCTTGTGCTCGTTAGAAGCTCCTGATTAAAATTCATCATCTCAAGATATTTATAACTCTCTAACTATCCCTAGACCTCATTAATCTATAGCTACCTGTTTGGAAAGAGATGGGGGCACCTAAAAGGTACCAGTGCAGATCTGGAGCTGAAGTAACACCGTGTTGACTGACAGATGACAGTGTTGGCCTCAGTGAGAAGAGCAGCCCTGCACAGTGTGTGAAGGGATACAAGGCTGCAAAGGGATGCCATGGGGGTAAGACATGAAGCCAGGACTGTTCCTAGTGGGACGAGAGAAAAGATTGCCAAGCAGCCACTGGTCAGATGTCCCAGAGAGGAGGGAGACACCCTCCCCCATCAGCATCCTGGAGAATATGCGGACTTGGAGATGTTGAGTCATAGGAAGAGACCACCCCACGACCCCCTTCTCTATTCCACTGGCACACGTGGGTCCTGCCAGTCTCAACAACCCTCCAGAGACATGGCCACTGTGCTCCCCAGGCTCTGGGTCATACAACCTGGCTGCCCAACACTGAACTGTGCTCCTGAACCTGAGTGAGTCTCAACCAGCCTCATGGACCTCACCCCTGGACCATGGGGTCCTTTTCCCAGCAAAACCCCCCAGGATAAGAGGGAGGAAACCCCAAATCTTCCAATCCATGCCTCAGTTTGCCTTACTCTGTGATTTGCCTCTTCCTCTCCCACCATGTCCTCATTTGCACCACTGAAAGCTAAGCAGACCTGCCTCTCCCACTTCTCCTCCTCCTTTGCTGCCACCCACATGCTGCCCTTACCTTTTCTTCTCCCTCATCCATGCCATTTCCCATGGCTCCCTCTTTACTATTCCTCACCATCCCTCCAGTCCTGAAGCTTGCTGTGACTGCTGATCTGCTGCACCAGTTGTTTCTCCCCGTGTTCAGCCTATGTCTGGGTCAGGGTCCCTGGGACTGGGGACCAAGCCCAGGGATCAGAACCATCACAAGAGGATTCTCTGGAGTCATTTGTCCCCTTGACCCAAAAGGAACCCTTTCCTCTGGGATACCCAGTGTTTTTGCATAGCCTCATATTCTCCTGCTTTGGATCAGCCTTTAAATAAAAATGCCCTATGAAAATAGGAAAAGAATTTTGTTTCAAGGCTGTCTAATGAAATGCTCCGGCACTTCTGAAATGAGACATTTTACCTTGGAAACATCTAGCAGGACTATGCTGACACTTTTCTATACATCCAAATGACTGAAACCTGAACTTACAGCTCCTTTTGATCCTACTGAAACCCCATTTTTTGTGAATTACTACATGTAAAAGATTCCAGCTGGCTGCTCCCACCACAGCCTGGGTTTCACTGCTCTGCAGCCCAGCTGAGTTTTGGGACAAGTCGTCCCGGGCCCCTTCCACCTTGCATGTCACCACCAACACTGCAACAGTGGTATGCAGTTCACAACCATGTTGATGATGTGTGAGGCAGAGGAGAGCCCTCCTTCCTCGCACAGTGGCTGATCCCAGATGGGTTTGTAGCAATCACCACATCACAAAGCAGGAAAAAATCCCTGGGTTGCTGTGGACAACAGAGAGGTGAATAAGAAGGATGATAAATGCACTTTGAATCTCTTTGCCTCTAGACAGACACATTTAAAAGTGACCTACAAGGGACCTTCCCCTTTTGGCCCCAAATAATAGAAGCTCTGAATGGGTTTTAACACTGGGTTTATTCCCCTTCTGCTTTTTTTGTTCCTATTAGAAATCCAAGTCCTTGTGCAGGGTCTTGAATGAGTGAGTGCAATGAGGATGCAACAGGAGAGAAGAGTGAACACAAGGCAATGAAAAATTGTTTTTAAACACTTTTCAAAGTGCTCAGCTTTTATCTGGCTAGAGTGGGAGAGGACTCTGTTTAATGCAGTTTGCTTTGTGCATGACAGATTTATTTAGCTCCAACAATTGTGTCACAGTTTGGAGAAAGGAAGCCTTTGTTGAAGTTACAGCTCTCCGTAGCAAGCAATCTCCGTGCCCTTGCTGGAGCAAGGCCACTTTGCATGGAAGAATGAACTGCTTATTGGAGGTGGGAGACCCCAGAGCCTGCTGCCCACTGGGAGGCATGATCTGGGATGGTTCATCTTACAGCAGCTTCCAGCCTCAACTCTGACCCTGGTAGCCAGGAGAGGATCACAACTGCATGAGTATGGCCTAAAGAGCAGGGCATCTCTTGAGCAATGGAAAGACTCAGGGTCTGGGACAGAAATCCCTGGCAGCTATCAAGTTCTCTTGAACTTCCCAAAGGGACATGCTTATCTTTGAAGTCGTCCAGGCAACATTTGAGTAAATGATGAACAATGAACCAATTATTTGGATATCAGAACAAAGGATGACCTCTCATCCACCTGAGTTGACCAGAGATAACCATACTACCTCAATAGGTCCTCAGTGTGGGAAATGTCTTGATAAGTTCCATGGGAGCAAAGCTGTCACTGGAGCCCGTCTGCCTGGAGCTGGGTCCCAGGAGTATTTGGAAACAGGGCTGTTGCCTTGAATCCAAGACTGCTGAGCAGAGCCCCTGCACCGACAGGACTAGTCTACCTTCCCCAGGTCCATGGAAAGGCATCAGTTTCCAAGGATCAGCTTGGTACATATACCAGGGACTCCCTCAGCCTTTTCCCTTTAGGCTTCTTTGCTCCACAGTAGGCAAGGACTGATGGTTCAGTGAAATATGGAAAAAGGTTTTCAAGGACAATACCCTCTAGTTCCTGTCTTCTGCTAGCACAAGACTACCTGTGTCACAGGGGAAGGATCAGTCTTCTTCTAATGGGCACAGTACCGTGACAAGTCTCACCCAGCCTTAGAAGAGGACAGAACTCTCACTGAGGTCAAAAAAATGGGCACCAACATCTTTCCACTTTTTGACACACAAAAAAAAATAAAAGCCAGCAAGACAAGATGATGCTCTCCTGAGGCTCTTCCCACAAAGGGCGAGATATGCTGTGGGCAAACCCCAGACACCCACTGTTGGCCATCCCATCGAGGTGACTGGGCTCCAGCGGCGCGTGTGTGCGGTGCAGGGTGGGTATGGCCCCCACGCAGTCCACGGGCCCCCACGCAGCCCAGGCGCCGTGGCAGGGACCCTGCGACACCCATGCAGCGTGGGAGCGGACACCGCAAGTCACTGCTTCCCTCTTGTGGGCAAATTTGGGGAAGGACAGGGGGAGCACCCAGAAGGC